TCCCGGCCCCGCCCCTCCCGCTGGGGCGGGGCGCGCTGGTGAGCCGGGGTCTGGGAATCTGTGCTTAGTCCCGGGGGCCGGGTCGGGTGGTCCAGGACAGAGGGCCGAGCGCCTGGGACCACCGAGACCCCGCGGCGGGGCAGAGGCGCCGAGAGCAGTCTGGCGCTTGCTACCGCCGCCGGGAGGGCAGCGCGGGGAGCCCCGGCGGAGCGACAGTGTTCCGGCCCCGCGCGTCCCACTTCCGGAGCCGCCGCTTTCACTTTCTCTTCCGCCCAGGCGGCCTCCCTCCGGCTTCCGGATGACGGGGTCGTCCCGGGAGCGCCGGGCGTGGGGCTGACGTCCCGGACACAGCGGGTGCCCGGGGACAGGTGCGGACCCTCCCCAGGGCTCCGCCCGCCCGCCCGTTTCCTCCTTCGCACCCTGCGGGCGGCCGTCGCGTCCCCTGCGCTGCCACTGTCCCCCGGGGCCGACGCGTCCCCCGGCCGGGGCCGGGCCCGGGACCACGCAGCGCGGGTCTGATCCGCCGCTCTGCCTGCTGACGGGAGAGAGCGCGTCCCAGAGCCGCGGCCCCCGGGGGGATGGGCCCAGCCAGGCCGGATGGACGAGAAGACCAAGAAAGGTGGGCGCCGACTGGAGGGGGTGGCCTTCGGGCGGGGTGACACTGCAGGACCCGCCTCGCCTGGTTTCCCGCTGCGCAGTTTCCTCCCCAGGGCCTCTGAGGCCTTGGGTCAGCTCCGAGCTGAGGGGGGTGGGGACCCCCTTGGAGGACGCTGGCGTTGAACACGGAGACTCCTGGGCTGGTGGGAGACAGACCTCGGTGGACCTGAGCATCCCGGGCCTTTGCCTCTCCTCCTGGCTCTGCCTTATACAGCGCCCTGATAGTGCTTCTGGGAGCGCTCCCTTACGTTCGGAGATCCAATCCCAGAGACTCGTGGGACCTCCCCATCATTTTCATTCACCCCTTGCTCACTGTGCTGGAGCCCCCTGGCTTTAGTTCCGAAGCAGCTATTTCTTGCCCCAGGCCTTGGCCCTCACTCTGAAAACCACCTGGCACACGCTTCCCGCTGGTCTTGGCAGGTCCCGCTGTGCACCTTCAGGGCTCAGCTGCCTCCGGGTGGGGGCTTCTCCCTCATCTCACCGTGTTCATCCTCTTGCAGCATGGACCGCAGTCCGACTTGCCCATTTCTTGTTAGACTTGTTCCTTTCTGCCTCTTGGCCGGATTGGGATGACTAGGAGAAGAGGGACCCTTGTTTATCTGAATCACTGTGGGATCCCACTTCCTGGGGCAGTGAGTGGCACACAGTCGGAGCTCAGTAAATGCTTGTGAGAGAGATGAATGGACGTATGAGAGATGGAGAGTAAGGAAAAGTGGGACTTGAAGAGACTAGGCTGGAGAGCAGCGGGTGTAGAGAAGGCCTCCCTCCTGGGCAAAGAGGCTTTTGGGCGTTCAAGGGAAGACGAAGCAGTGTGCATGTATGAGAGATCATCTCCTCCCAGACTGTCTCACCTTTAGCATCCAGTTTCAGCGCAGCGCTAACCGCCTCCCCCTGCCTCTTTCAGCAGAGGAGATGGCCCTGAGCCTCACCCGGGCAGTGGCGGGCGGGGATGAGCAGGCGGCTGTGAAGTGTGCCACCTGGCTGGCACAGCAGCGGCTGTCCCTGAGTGTGTGTCTGAAGCCGGAGGTTCCCCTGACACGGGACATCAGGTGAGGGGTGCAGGGCCCAGGCTTAAGGCTTTCTGTACCCTGGCCTTTTGTTTGTCTTTTTTTTTTTTTTTTGGTCTTTATGTGTTTTTGGTGGTACTGGGAATTGAACCTGGGTGCTCACACATGCTAGCAAGAGGTCTGCTCAGCCCCAAGAATAGTTTTTTTGTTTTTTGTTTTCCCAAGCCAGGGGATTGAACCCACGACCTATTCCTTTTTTATTTGTTATTTATTTATTTATTAATTATTTGAGACAGGTTCCTGCTGTGTAGTTCAGGTTGGTCTTGAACTCACTGTGTAGCCCGGGCTGGTGTCAATCTTGGGTGATCCTCCTGCCTCAGCCTCTGCAATGCTGGGATTACAGGCATGTGCCACCACTCCTGGCTCTCCTACCCCTTTTTTTAGTTTTTATTTTGAGATAGGGACTTGCTGAATTGCCCAGGATAGGCTCAAATTTGTCATCCTCCTACCTCAGCCTCCCAAGTGCTGGGATTATAGTCATTTACCACCGTGCTTGATGACAGTAGTTATTCTTAGTGGCAAGTCCTGGTGTCAGGAGCCTTAAGAGAACTTTAAACGCTGTAGTTGTCCCTAATCAACTGTGAGAAATAGGGCAGGTTATTTTACCTCCCAGGCTTTATTTTCTCATTTTTAAAATGGGACAATAACAGTAGCCATCCCAAAGTAGGAGGTGTGTTAGGATGTTAGGCCTCATAAAACAAAAAGAATGTAACAGTGGGTAAATAAATCTGAAGGCAGGCAGTGTAGGTTTGGAGGTTCTGTTCCCCATGTCCGCAGAGTGTCATCCTGCTTCTGTTGTTCATGGCTTCCCTTCTCAGCTTTACTTCATGGCTCAAAACAGCTGTCGCAGCCTCAGCTGGCAGCACATCAGGAGGAAGGGAAGCCCCTTGTGAAAAAGAAAGTCGGCACATAGGGCCTTGGTTCTGTACCCGGCACTGAAAAACCAGACCAAACGAGGTTGTGCATACTGCCGCTTCGTTCCTATGAACCAGGGCTCAGTTCAGTCTCACAGCTGCACGCATCGTGAAAGGAGGCTGGGAAATACAGCCAGGTCTGCAGCTCCGGGATCTCAGGGCTTCTCAGCAGAGAAATGAGAGAGACACTGTCAGCCTCTGCCCGGAGGGTTCTTCTTGGTGCTGAAACACACACTGCCTGGCACGTGTGGCTCACTCAATAAATACAGATGTCTGTGCCTTTTTTCTTTTACTGCTCTCTTTAATAGCTGCACTGTGAGGTAATAGTTGTTTACAGTACCTGATTTCCGGTTCTCCTGGTGCTTGCATTTGGTTTTTTAGAACAGTTTTATGGAAATGGAAATAAAGTTTACATCCATACAGCTCAGTCCTCTGAGTGCACAGTGTCATGGGTTTTCAATTTCAGGACCGTGTGACCTTACCCACAGTCAGCTTTAGACATTTTTATCATCCCATCAAGGAAACACATAGTCAGCCAGGCATGGTGGTGCCCATTTGTGACCCCGTGTGCCCTGGGAGGATGAACCAGGAGGAATGCAAATTTGAGCCCTGCCTGGGCAACTACTAGTGACTTAGACCTTGTCTTAAAGAAATAAAAAAAGAGGGCTGGGGATGCAGCTCAATGCGAAGGTTCTGGATTCAGTCCCCAGTCACACGGAAAACCCACACCCATCACAGTCCTTTCCCATCTCCTGCCTTCTCCCAACCCCAGGCAGATCTGTCTGCTCTGGAAACTTCCTGTACCTGGGATCCTACAACACTTAGGTTTTTATACCTGGCTTCTTTCACTTAGTGTTGTGTTTCTGGATTTGTCCGTTTTTGCACATAGCAGAACTTTTTCCTTTTTGTTTTCAAGTGAAAAATCCCTTGTATGGGTAGGTCGCATGTACTTTCTCCCTTGGTCAGCTGATGCCTATTTGGGGGGTTTGTACTTTTTCGGTGTGATGCATAGCTGTGGACATATGTGTCCGTAAGTTTGAGGAGCAGGGCTGCGGGGTGACAGTTTTGCCTCTAGAGGCCCTGCCAGACCCCCTGCCACTGGCCCACCCTCCCCCGCAGTGCATGGGCACCAGCTTTTCTTGCCCTCACACTTGTTGGTTGGCTTGTGATTGTAGCCATCCTAGTGAGTTGGGAGCAGTATCTCATTGCAGGTTTGTTTTGCATTTCCGTAAATATTTGACAACAGACACTGAACATCTTTTCAGGTGTTTATTGGCCATTTGCATGTTTTCTTTGGAGAAATGCCAGTTCAGGTCTTTTGCCCATTTTTTAAACTGGGTTTGTCTTTGTATTGTTTCTCTGTAGGAGTGTAGTGTTTTGTTTGGGGCTCTAGTTCTATGTTCCAGGCTGACCTTGATCTCACAATACTCCTGCCTCAGCCTCCCCAGTGGTGGGATTATGGGCATGTGCCATCATGCCCAGCTTTGTAGGAGTACTTTATATATTCTAGATGAAGTACCTTATCAGATGTGTAATTTGCAAAAGTGTTCTCTCCTGTGGGTTCTTTTTACTTTATTAATGGTGTCCTTTAAAGCATAACTTTTTTTAAAGGTCATGATGTCTTATTGATCTGTGTTTTCTTGTTTGTGCTTTAGGTCATAGCTAAGAAATCGTTGCTCTGTCCAAGGTCATGAAGATTTACTGTCATATTTTCTTCTAAGAAATTTATTTTTTTTTTTAAATTTACAGTTTTAGTTCTTTGTCAGCTTTGAGTTAATTTTTGTATGTTGTAACTAGAGGTCCACTTCATTCTTTGCACATGGCTTTGCAGTTGTCCCGCACCATTTGAAAAGGCTGTTCTTTCCCCTACTTACTCATCTTTAGTGCCCCCAGGGAACACTGGCCGTAAATATGAAGGTTGATTTCTTTTTTCTTTTTTTGAGTCAGGATCTCACTGTGTAGTTCAGGCTGGCCTTGAACTCAATATGTAGCCCAGGTTGGCCTTTAACTTGTGACCCTCCTGCCTCAGCCTCCTGAGTACTGGGATTACATGTGTGTGCCACTATGCCTGGCTAACATTACTCATTTTTAATTCCAAGAAGAAAGAAGTTCATAGGTAGTGTCTCCAGTCATCATCTCAAGAGGTAGATTCATCTGGGGGGGGCAGCACATGTCTCTAATCCCGGCATTCAGGAGGCTGAGGCAAGAGGGTCACTGTGAGTTAGAGGCCAGCCTGGGCTATGTAGCAAGACCCTGTCCCCCCAAAAAAGTAAATTTAAGCATTTTGTTTAAAGTGGCTGCCAGAAGCCATGTGTGGTGGCATACTTCTGTAATCCCAGCACTAGGGAGGCTGAGGCAGGAGGTTCAGACCCAGCCTGGTATACATAGTGAGAGCCTATCTAAAAAAAAAAAAAAAAAATAGGGGGCTGGGGATTTAGCTCAGCGGCAAAAGCGCCTGCCTGGCAAGTGCAAGGTCGTGAGTTCAGTTCCCGGTACTGGAGAAAAACCAAAAAAAA